CGATAACGAATATGACATGCAGATTATACTGTGGTGTCATCTGACGAGGTTACGGTAGGTTTACGGTAGATGAACTAAAGCGGCTGAATTAGCCGAAATTTGGTACACTGGAGTTATCCGGGATGCAGATTATGGACAATTTGTCTGCTACATACACTGGTGACATATGGACCGGTTACGGTAGGTATACGGTAAGTAAGAGAAATCATGGAAGGGCAAACTTTGCCCGGAGGATTTATTCTGTGCGCAAATCCTAATAGTCAATTCCTATCATTGCGTATGCTATCCGCCTTCTCCATTGTTTGAAGCTTTCAGCTGCGCAAAAGACCAATCCTCGTGATGAACCATCACTGCCCGATAGAAATGGAAATGAATGAGGCTTTGGTATAACTTGTTTTGACCTGCTAAGTGTTAATGGAATGAATGTGTACATTATGGCAAAGCAATTTTAGGTCATAGTTTTTTGTGTCATAGTCTAGCGGTTTAGTGATAGGATCTTTACGCTAGACCATACAGGTTCGAGTCCCTGCTTTAACGTCGCTTTTGCGGCAAAGTTCTTAATAGCTCCTCAAAGCAAAACACCGAGCTTGAGAGTTGGAATTCGGAATTACGAAAGCGGAACTCAGAGTTTCAATAAGCGTAACTCAGAGTTTCAAAAACGGAACTCAGAGTTATCTCTGAGTTAACGCGGAACTTCAAACTCGGAGTTTCGACCAGATTACTACCGACCCAGAAATTCTGCAGCAATTACAATTCGAAACCACGAGAGCGTGTAAAAATCGATAATAAAACCAGATACTTGCTAAGATATTGCCCTTGAAATCCCCAAAAACTCGTACCTGAGTGTATTCAACCACAGTTTTGAAATATACTGCCATTGAACCTCTTTTGTTGATCCGTTAGGTTGCAGTCATTTTCGTACTGCTATGCTTCTGCGATACGGGTGACGCTTCTCAAAGTAAACATTACGGCAGTATCTCTTGGCTTATTCTTATTGTCATTTGCTTCATTCTGATAGAATAACAATTTTGTGGCATCGTGGCTTTTCAAGCCATCTTCCTTGTTTGAGAATGCATAGTGCTAATGGTTTTCTTCGTCTACTTTTTAACATTCTCATCTTGAAGCCAACACTTTATGATTGTTATCACATTGCAAATTGCAAATCTCATATCAGCTGCTTACTAAATTCTGATTGGTTTTAAAGTATAGGGCATTCATCGCACGCAAAGAATGCGGACGTATCGGCGTCTCTCTGATCAAGTGCTCTTTCGTTTCTCTCACCATCTGCTATCTCTCCCATGCACAAGCTGTCTTCCTTGGACGCAACGGCGCCCAGTCTTTGCGTGTTATGAATCGCCGATATATGGACCCGGGCATACTTCATGCGCTTTCAAACGCGGCGCTATTTAACAATACTCGGGTTGCATATACTTCTTCCCAATCACATGTTAAACCTGGAGGATATACAGTCTGTCTCAACGATGTGCTCCCTTTCCGATCAGCTCCAGCACATCGCCAGAGCCTCGTGCCGCGTTCGCGGGCATATCGCTCAAAGCGTTTAAATCTGCTGCATCGATCGCAGATCGCTGCGCAATGCCCACGCGGTGCGAATGCATGGCCACAATAGGGGGAGGGGGGCGGGGGGACGTGATTGACATTGATTTTAGGGTATTTATCAACCTGCGAAATTCATATACACTGAGCAATTGTATCTGTAAGTGTTGCATCTAAAGACATCTGGCAAATTGTCAAATCACGTCGCGAGAAATAGCGTGAAGTATGCCCAAGGCGTATATCTCAGCACTGCTCTCCATGTGAATTTTCTGCTGTCTTGCCTATAGTCATGTACTGGGAGTCAACAACCCCGTTAGTTGAACTACTAGGTGAGCGGATACCTGCTTTTTTCTTTTGTCAACTTGTAAGCTCGAGGGACATCATAGTCATTGAAGCTATTGACGAGATACAAACAGGGTCCGGCACGAGTCGGTTAGGGTTTCTGACAACGAGGTCCCCTTTCGGCAATTTATTTTGCAATGGAAAAGGCATTGCTCCACAAATTTTCAGAATTTTTTTAAAATATAATTCTTCTCTAAGTAACATTCTATGCCTACAGTCCAAATTCGGTGTCATAATCTTGTCCTTACGCTGCAAACAAGCAATTTGTTGATTTTGGCTTTGCTTTCAAATCGCGCGCGCTTTACGATGGAGCACGTCCACCGTGTTAACCTGTCTTTGAAGCTTTGTGTCTTTAAAGGCAGTGTCCCGGCAGATTTTGCACCTCCATCCTTTTGCATGTTTTAGGCCTTTTCGCCACGTAGAATCCGAATTTGAGCTTTGAACGGGCTGAAAAGGCCGATTTTGGGGCGTTTTCTTAATTCCAGAAAAGCAGCCCGGACGAGATTTTTAATGGAAAGTTACGGGAGGTCCTCAGACGAAAACCCTGCTGGCTGTAATTCTTGCTTTGGATAGCATGCTCAGACACTCGCTGCGGCGGCGCGCGCGGCTTATGCGTGCGGCCCCTCATGTCGCCCGCCGCCGGCCGTCAAATAGCGCGCGCGCCGCGAGTAGATGGCACGCGCGCCGCGAGTAAATGGTACGCGCGCCCTGAGTAGATGGGACGCGCGCCATACGATAATGGCACGCCGCTCGCACGGTATGAAAATTGCCATTCGCATTTGAAGCACTGCGAATCACGGTGAATCTGTGGTAGACCTGATGACAACCTTCAATTTCAGGCAAACAATGGCTTCAATTTCAAATATGAACTTGAAGTTTTCAAAGTTTCCAAATTTTTGAAATTTGAAAATTCAAATTTCAAAAATTCAAAAATTCAAATTCCCAAACTTGAATTCGAACTCGGCACCCTCGGCACCTACTCGCGGTGCTTATGAGGACTGAGTCTCAATGGAAGAACTAGAAGAATCCCACTTGTGTTAATGAGGCAGCTTCATTGCGAAACAGCGATAACCTTAATGACTTGGCGATAAAGCACCCAAAACACTGCGTCGTACTTCACGCAGGTATCGCTTGTGCTTACAGCGTGTGAAAATGCGGAAGATATCATGGCACGCCACTCACTGATAGATGCATGCATCATGGGGGAGAGCGCTCGTGGGGTCCCGCGCCGAACAGAAAAGGAAGGCCGTCCAAGCGCGCCAGTTGGGCTTGCGCGCGCAGGTTCAAGGGCCATTTTCTCGGCCCAAGGGGAACATCACCCAGCCGGACTGCGCCTAGAGGTCGGTGGGAGACCAGGAACCCCACCACATGTATATCCCCCAGGACCCGAATCTGACGGGACACTGCCTTTAAGCCTGACTGAGTGGTGCTTTTGGCACTACAGGGAGTGTGTTGAATTTTCTTGCACACGGTATGTGCAGTCCTCCCCTACAATGGTAATGCATGCACAAAATTTTTTCCGTGCTCCGCCCTGGATCTCGCAAAAACCATATACCCTTCGCTTTTTGTCCCAAAAACGAAGTCCAGTTTGCTTTCTTCGATCTGTGCCGGGCGCTGGATACGAAGCATCTGAGTGTTTGGTTATGACTACCACCATTGGGTAGTCAAGAAAACGAGAAATCTTCGGGGGATGGGGGTGAGGGAGGGGGGAGGGGGCGCGACAAGAATTTTTCAGCTTAGCAATGCATTCCGGTTTTTTAAGATTTTTCAAAACTTTTGCACAAAAAGCTTTCCAAAGCCAGTTTAAATTTTTACAGATCATTGGAAGTGTTTGCAAAAGACAAGGTATAGGTCATTTAAAAATAATGACGTTGTCGGAAGTGACGACGTATTTGACTGCGGTCTTTGCGCCCACTTGAGCATAAAACATTCCTACAAGAAGGCATCACCTCATTACCCGGATCCGTCACTTTCATTGTTTAAATAATAACATAGGTAAGCAGACAAACCATTCGAGTAGGGATGAAGACCAAGAAAATGCGGTTTTCGGAAATGCGTGCGTGTTGCGCGCGGTCGCGCCATCACGATTTTTCATGCTCTATACTTGCGCAAATTGTAATTCATGTAGGCAATTTCCAGAATTTTCGCATACATTCTCGTTGGATTGGAAGCGTTGTCTAGGTTGATCTTCAGTTTCCTAGTCCTTTCCAGATTTTTTGTAGCCTTGAACACAGATATAAAGTAAGTGTGAAAATTTTGCGACAATTATTTTAACCTTTCACAATGTGGACGAGTGCTCGGCGATTATCTTGTCAGACACAGTAAAAACCGAGATACTCAATATGCTTATTGATCGTGCTTGCCCTGTCAAACGAGAAGGGCGAATCGTCGGATGGGTGGGGTTGAGTTACGCCCACTGTTGGGGATTTGGTTGTTAGCAGATGCATGATGGACACTTTAAGCAATGCCTTAGGAAATTTCCTTAGAACGTCACTGGGGGATTGAAATTAGTTTGAAATAAAATAGTTTTCTTCCCCCTTAAGGCATCACGCCAGACCCAATTCTGTAAACAGCTAAGCGATCGCTAGGTAACGGCAAAAACAGAAGCTTCCAAATCGGAAGAGACACTGCCTTTAATGTCACGGGTATCAGTTCTTGTTTCTGTTACTGTGTGATCAAAATCGGTCTTCGATCGTAATCAGGGAATAAAAACAAGAAAGTAGCAGCTGGGTGAGGACTATCTCCTGATGACATGGTGACATAGCCTCATTATCCACTTTCAGCGTTTTAGAAAGTATACAGTTGACACACCATGCGAAAAAGATAGTATCAACTATGGTTTCAAGAGTCTTGTTTGGCTTTGTTTTCTTCTATAGTTGAGCTTTACCGAACAGGTTTTCAGTGTTTCCTAAAAATCATGAGGAGTAGAGACACATTTTTTTCTCACAGTGCAGCTGTGCTAGCGATTATGCAATACATCATCTACCTCTTTTCCAGAGAAAAACAGCCCTGTTTTGACCGAGGAAGCCAGCTAGTGAATTAAGAGTAGATAAATATTGAAAATATTAGTGCTGCTATGTTTGAATCAGACTTATCCTTTGCAGTTTCCGTTCCTGATTTACGTCCGCCTGATGACACAAAAAAAGCGAAGGAAGAACCTCTTAGTGGACAACAAAAAGAATGCAAGCGATCAGTGTAAGATGGATTTTGTATTTCTAACGCGTTTCTGTAAAATGTATAATAGCCTTATCCATGATCCAGTCATAACAGTTTTTCTTTTTTTCAAAATAAGGCGTGAATAGGCGCTCAAATTCTGTAACAATTTTTTCATAAACGAGCTTCAAAAGTCAAATGTTCGCCCGAAGATATGAAGCTGTGAAACGCAAAACACAACTGAGAAAATCTATCCACTGGTTTTGCTAATTTTTATTTGTTTAGGGATACGCTAATTCATGCCGTTTATAACCGCCAGCATGGTATTTTTGAAGTGACTAAGAAGTGTGTGAGTGCTTTGCATTTTCCCTCTATACTTTATGACTTTGAACTTGTTGTCGTGAATGATCACTACTATCTCATGGCTTTCGCAAGTGGTGTCGCGATCCAATCATCTGCTGATTTTTAAATTTTCGAAATATTTCTTCTCCTACAGTACTATACAGAGTGCAATAATTCAAAGGATCATTTTTGTTCTATTCGAAATAGGAATCGATACAGACCTCAAAAATTTCCACAGCATTTCAGAGTTCCAGCCAATAATATCACGCAGACTGTATTTCAGAGAAATTATCTTGCTGTTATGGGTGTTCCTATCAAGAACGGCGGGCATGTTTTATTCCCGGAAGAGGCTGTCTACCTAATCGAGGTATTGTAGTGAAAATTTGACGCTTGAGACGTTTTCTGGTATATTCCAGCACTGCCTGGTGTGTGCCACAGATAACCAACGTGTTCTCACCCTACACGATGGCTACCGTATCCTAGGCGAATGTGGTGTGGCAATGCACGTTTACCGTACCTATGCATCTTTGCGACAAGCGGGATTTGCCGTTCTGCGGCCAAAGTATGAATTGTAACTTTTACCGGAGCTGTAAATCCCTTCTCATTCATCTTCATTTATATGCAAAATATTTATTTTAGTCGTGCCTCAGTTCGTTCGCTTCCGCTAAGTCAAGAGTTAACGGCTGAGCAATCAACATCTAAGCATGATAAGTGAGGTGTTACGTTTTTTTTCTCACGAGGGGGCATCTTGAAATTGCCTCTCCCAGCAAAGGGTATAGCGACGGTCTTGGAATGCTGACACATGTGCTCTGCAAATCTCCTAAACTGTTCTCAGACGAAGTTACAGAAAACTGTTTGTTTTTGGTCGATACTAAATTTGCCTGCTTCCTGCATGACCAAGGTAGCAGAGCTTCAAAATCTTTTCGATGACTTCTTCATATACAAAAAGTATATAGGCATTTGGGTTTATACGTTTTGAAGGAAATTCGCTGTGACAGGTTTTTAAGACAGCTTGACCATGCACTTTGGAAGCAGAAAAATGTCTCTGACTTTGCCCTTTAAACTGTTTAACGCTTATGAAAGGGTTTTTGTAACTTGCGTTTAAAGATCTTTTGGCTGATGTACAGCCCATTGGAAAAGAGCGGTCACCTCGCTTGGATTCTGCGTCGCGTCAGCGGCGTATCATCTAGGCATTTCCCACACTTGAGCGCTCAAGGATAGCGAGAGTGGAAAAATCCCAGAGGATAGTTGCAGATGCGGCGCTGGGTGTAAGCGAGGCGGTCGCGCGAGACTGAAACCGTCGGACCGGCGAAGACAGAGTGTTTCAGATATCCACAGCATTTGCTCAATTGTTTCCCAACACTGCAACGAAATCGTTTACTAATGACTAATCTACACCGTAGCCTGCTCTTCGTACCTGTGCCAGATCTTCACAATTTCAAAACTGACTGTACAAGGTTTTTGCGGACACATCATGTAATTCAGCTAGTGTTCGATCTGTATTGAATGAAAAGTACTTCCTTTTCAGCGTAATTTCCGACAAAAAATGCGGCCTCGATACTGGCCGGAACTGGATGAAATTCGTGCAGTAGCGTCATCCTGGAAGCAATTCGCACGTCTCAGAAGGAATCTGTTGGAATCCAATCGTGATAATCGGAAAGCTGCGGCCGAGTTGTCGAGGTATAATTCAGGTCCAGTGGTTTATAGAGCCCTTTGGTGCCGGCAACACGCGCGAAGAGAAACTGCCATAGGGTGCCAAATTTGGACATGTCTGCTTCATACACATCTTTCTTTGGAAAGAAAAGTTTTTTCTTTCAGTGAACCTGACAAGAGATACGATTTCGAAGTCTTCCTGCCAGGACGATATCGTCACACCCAAATTTCATCTCCTGTTTTTCGTGTCGTTTGTGTTGAGTAAGTTCTTGACAATACTTCTGGATTTTTTGCTTGAAATCTTAAATTCAGCTCACGATATGGTGCAATGAGTTGTGCCATGGTTAATCAATACTCTAGCGATATACCCTTGATCATCTCAATCTTCGACTGGGGGCATCTGTGCTTCATTGAAGTCAGCGGTGAACCCATTGATCTTAATCAGTATCTGAAGGGACTTGTAGAGAAGTTTGAGAAGCTCTAAATTTTGGGACTCAGATTTTTATCGGGCGTAAGCGGGTAAGAGTATCATAAAATATATCATCTGTCTGAGTTAACCAGTTTTAGCATTTTTATGTTTTGATTGTTCAATAAAAATTTCAATTTGCGGTGTACTCTACTATGTACCTTATTTTTTGCTCGCTTCCGTTTTGGAAAGCTTTTACATGTGTATGGTACTTGAGGTTCAAAATTTGTACTTTGAAGGTTTCAAGTTACCTCAAAACTCACTGATTCGTGGGGGAGGGGAGGGAGAGGGGGAGATATGTAGCAATATCGAATGTCTAGAGGCTTATCTAACACTCCTTTCAAAAAGAAATTTCATCGCGTCCCTTTTCCGAAAAAAAAGTTTCTCGGACTTTCAAATGCCGTCTAGGGTCTAGGTTTGACGCTAGATAGATGCCTCCTACTGAGCTGTTTGCGCGCAAATGAAGGCCAATAAACGGTGTCAACTTCCTTGCACATCTTAAAAATGTCGTACAACCAATCCATTATATACGCGACATTTTCAGGGAAGCTAAACCACGGAATCCTAGATTTAAAACGCGTCGACTTGAGGATGGCAACTGTTAGGCTCTAAAATGCTAATCAAATCCTCATTTACAACTCTCACCCAAAATCGCCGCGCAATCAGCACACTGATGAGCAAAGCGATGAAAGTATACGTTCTCATGTAGTCCAAATGCATTTGGGTAAGGGAACAGGATTTCACTAGAATAGCACTCACTCCCTGGAAAAGGAAAACCGACATGCACATTCTATTAGGTTGATGCATAATTCCTGCACCAAAATAGGTACAGATCGCAATAATCTGGTATAATCCTATATCCCAAATAGGATTCGACATATCATTGGATAGAGCAAACCTAGCTCTACAAGACAGTGCTCAATCTGCACCAGCTTTGATCCATGCGAAGTTTTGAGCCGAAAACTGAAAAAATCATGCGTTCGAAAACCTTAAGACTAATCAAAACAGAATTGTAACTTCGTTCAAAAAGCTTCTACAAAGTTTCTTTCTTGCTCACGCGTAGACATTCCACGTAAGACATTTATCTATGCGGTTGCTGTATTTTTTCCCCGGCTAGACGATGAGAAAACGAAGTTTTTCATGTTTTCTCCAAAACAATGCTGCGATGTTCTAGCGCTGACAGTTGTATACTATAGGACCTTAGAAGCGTGAGTGTGAATTTTCAGCTCTTTACAGCAGCTGCTTTACGAGAAATATCGAATTTTTAGCAACTAGGCAAGAAAAATTCGGATAAGAAGAGCTAGATTCGTCATTTCTCGCGAACTAGCAGTTTTAGAAGGCCGAAAATGTAAATTTTTACTCCTCAGGGCATGTACTATACAATTGTTAGTGCTAGAACATCTCAGCGCTAATTTGGTAAAAGCATGAAAAACTTCGTTTTCTCATCGTCTAGCTGGGAAAAAAATACAGCAACCGCATAGATAAATGTCTTACGTGGAATGTCTACGCGTGAGCAAGAAAGAAATTTTGTAGGAGCTTTTTGAACAAAGTTACAATTCTGTTTTGATTGGTCTCAAGGTTTTCGAACTCATGGTTTTTTTTCAGTTTTTGGCTCAAAACTTCGCGTGGATCAAAGCTGGTGCATATTTTTGAGCACTTTCTTGTAGAGATAGGTTTGCTCTATCTAATGATGTATCGAATCCTATTTGGGATCTAGGATTATACCAGACTAGCTGGCTTGCCCGGCTCCGCCGGGCCTGCCAGCTAGACCCGTGTACGTATGTTCCGAATAGAAATTTTTATTTCTGAACCGATTGGGACCGAACTTTGCACACATACACTTCGGGGCAGGGAGCGTGTCACAGCCCACTTTTCGTTATCGATCGATATCGATTTTATTGATTTTTTGCAAAATTTGAGCTAGGGGGCTAGGATTTTGCACAGGGGGGTAATCGAGCATGCTGATCACCCCTTCGGGGTGATCAGCATGCTCGATTACCCCCCTCTGCCAAATCCCAGCCCTCTAGCTCGAATTTTGCAAAAAATCAATAAAATCGATATCGATCGATAACGAAAAGTAGCCTATGACACGCTCCCTGCCCTGAAGTATATGTGTGCCAAGTTTGGTCCCGATCGGTTCAGAAATAAAAATTTGTATTCGGAACATACGTACATACATACAGACAGACAGACATACAGACAGACATACAGACAGACAGACAAACAGACATTCAGCTTTATATATAAGAAGATTACTGGGTCTGTACCTATTTTGGTGCAGGAATTTTGCATCAACCTAATAGCAAGGGGCTACATGACAACATCAATCTGTGACAAATTCTTTCTTTTAGTGTTTTTATTGGTACACCCATGTGTGTATTGAATAAATAAATAAATAAGAGGTACAGATCGGTACGCCACTTGTCATGTCTCCAAAAGACAGGAGCTGGGTTTGGCACTAGCTGAAAATAGGGTAGTTTTGAAACAAAGTTTTCTTTGATTTCGCCAAATTTTTGCGAAGTTCCCTTCGGTATTTTTGAAGCTCCCTCACTATCTTTAACACATTGACGACCGCTTGACACACATGGTGTGTCAAGGCTTGACACACCATGACTCTCATTAAATTGGTTACTAATTTGTGTCAAACCAACTCCGGGAGTTTTCTTTTATGCTGGATCTAGATACAACCTCTACTGTTTTTGCCAGTATCCCAGCGCTACTGTAGGTGTACACTGTAGATGGAATTGTGCATGATTTTATCTGAAAAATGTTGGCTGGTTCGAGATTGGTCGTCAATGTGTTAAGAGTGAATATCAAAGGAGAAATTGAAAGTAAACTATCGTAGACCAGAAAAAGATGAAACATGCGCGCCTTGATCTGGCTAGTGCGCGAGTGCATTACAAAATTGCACCACTATAGTATAATTTTCAAGAGCTGCAAAGAAGCCTAGAGAGAGGATGATACTGTTTTGTGCTTGTATGAGAACTTTCAGAGTGCAGATGCAATTTATGAGAGAACTAGGCAAAAATGAGTGGATATATTCGTTGATGGTAAATAAAAAACAATTAATTCTTCCACGAGTGGGTTTGAAGACCCAATACTTGGAAGACGTTAATATGGTCTCCCCTTTGAAAATCCTAAGAAGAAGCTAGATCGTGTACAACTCTACGCTAGAAGAAACTTTTGAGATAAGCCTTTTCAAACGTTCTTCATAATTAGGAAGTTATTTGGGATAAGGTGGACTAGTTGACTTGCTTCTACGTGAATTACAAAAAGTGAAACTATCTCGATATACTTTCAGAGTCTTTGGACTTTCCCCGGAATCTTTGAGCAAGGTTCTTTAGTAATATTCCACCAACCGAGCCCCACTTTGCTATTAATGCAAGAGCATCTTCTGCTGGCAAACGAATAGGCATGAATACCATCTCCGTGGATTACAATAAACTAGCTTGATCTTCTCGTTCACATATGACTTATTTATCCGCTACAACAATTATTCCTATTCAACTGTAGTCACTGCTCTCCCTGGCGTACTATTCTGGTGAGTTCAGACCGTATATCGACCATCAAACCTTGTTTGCTTGTTAGAATCAAAATCATTTGGCTGGCAAAAAAGGGGTCATGGGTACCATCTTCATCACATTTTTCAATTCTGATAACTGTAATCATAGAGCAGTCACATACAAGCTTTCATCATACTTTCATCAGAATGGACCCAAACTAAATGATGAACTTCGTTGCAGTCAAAATATTACTGCGCATTTTTTGTTGTTTTGTAAAGAACGCCAAGAGCATGTTGAATAAATTATTAAAGATTCCGGTTTAGCTTAGCTGGACTCAGTTGCAAGGGTTCCAGCTAATCAGGAAAAAGTAGGGCATGGCTTCTATACACATATGTTTCAAAACCTTTCGGTCATAGTTTAAATTCCTCAAGCCATGTGCACACCAAATTTTGTATCATATCATTGCGTTTTGGTTGTAAACAAGATTTTGTTAGCTAGGGCACATAAAAATACGTAAAGGCACTAAAGGATCAGTCAAAGTTTGCCAGTATTGCCGGTGTTAGAAGCGTTGAAATTGTCACAGGAGTCAAAAGTGTTCCTTGCAAGTGCTAAAATTGTTGAAAATGTTGAATGTGGTCATTAGCCTTGCGCTCTTAATCTTTCAACTAATTTTGCACGTTGGTGAGATCGGTTGAGGAAGAATGAGACTAACAACTTAGAACAAGAACATGGAACCTTTCGCATGCAAAAAAGAAATTTTCATACAAACATTTTGAAAGTAGAGGACTTGTTGGTATAGGCAATCCCCAATATCATGGGTTATTCAGGTTCGATCTCAAGTCCGCGTTTCTGCGATTTGTGGGCAAAAGACTTACTCCGCAACACGCAAGATCGGTCGAAAAAGAATGAGACTGCAAGACTAATGATTTCCACATTCCACTTTTAAAACTTCCAACATCGAACAAGTGCAACGCTTTCAACATTTTCAACACTTCCAACACTTTCAAATCTGGCAACACTTTTAACGGTACTTTTCCGTTATCCGGACCCATTTTTTCAAAAGGCTCTCATAAAATACATTCTTTAGACTAAGACCAATTTTTCATAGATCCCACAAGGACTACCTCCCTGCCACGTGTCAGGAAAATATTGACACGTTTTGGTCTATTTTGACATGTTTTTTTCAAAATCATTTCCGGTGAGGTAAAAGAGCAATTGTGATAACCTAAAAGCTGTTTGATTGTTTTCTATAAAAGCAAAACAATCTCGAACTCATGCTAGAACATCTGGATTGGTTTCAGCAATGACTCAGCATTGTCCTTCTCTTCAAACTTTTCATCACGCGAATTTAGCGACACAAGACTATAAATGATGACTTGAAGTTCCTTGTTGCTGTTTGTTTCGTCACTTAGATGATGGGACCCTAGCTCACTTGCCTATTCTAGGCAATCTAATCTGTTCATTAATAGCTGAACGACGTTATTATGACAATGATTTTCATTTTTGGCAGTGTTTAATCGAGAATGGGGCTACTATTGCTTAAAAAACAGATTGGAATTGCTTCGCTAAGTAGGGCGACTCAAACTCTTGGTTGAACTTGTTAAACATGTAAATGACATGTCAAATTTTTTTGACACGTGG